GTGGTCTAAAGCACCTACTTAGAACAAGCTTAGCAAAGCACAGGGACCGCGGTTCAATCCCCCAGCACCACATGCCAGCCAGCCCCGACCCCTGGTGGGCTGAGCTGGCCACACACACACACAAATAAATAAAAAAATTAAAGAAAAAAAAAAGAAGTATCTGCAAGACTGATGATACATTATCAAGAGGACAGACAAAAGCAGAATGGGTGATCGAGCTGGGACATGAACAGTACCCATCTCGTGGAAAGGGCTGAGTGGTGGGAGTATAGTTGTGTCACACTAGTACAGCTTCAGTCTTAGGCATATCTGAAAAATACAGACTCAAAAGCGTTGAAGGGGGGGCTGGAGAGATGGCTCAGTGGTCTAAAGCACCTACTTGGAACAGGCTTGGCAAAGCACAGGGACCGCGGTTTGATCCCCCAGCACCATATGCCAGCCAGCTCCGCCCCCTGGTGGGCTGAGCTGGCCACACACACACACACACACACACACACACACACAAAATGAATGTAATAAATAAATAAACAGCGGAATATATTTTTAAAAAAAAAGCGTTGGAGGCAGGGCTGGGGATATAGCTCAGTGGCACAGCAACTGTCTCGCAAGTAGGAGGCTGTGAGTTGAATTCCCAGTAACAAAACAAAACAAAACAAAATAAAATAAAGAGAAAGAAAGCAGCTCAGAATGTCCAATAAGCTTCCAAAGGGACCAGACCTGGTGCTGGATCTTTTTTTTTTTTTTTTTTATTTTAGGGAAGGTTCTACAGGGTTTTCAGGGTCTCACTACTAGATCGGACTTGTAGTGATCCGCCTATTTACAGCCTCCCAACAGAAGGGATTACAGGCACATGCTACCATACCCACTCTCAAATCTCAGAGTGCCCTGCAGTCAGGGCCTGGCACTGGGGATTGAACTCCTGGCCTCTGCACCTGCTTGCAGGTGCTTTAATCCACTGAGCTATTTGGCTGACCATTGGTGCTGGATCTTGAAAGCCAGGTCCACTATTGATTTGCAGTGTGATGAAAAAAAAAAGGCAAAAAACCTTTGGGCCTACCTAGGATTCCAGGACTGTACTATTATACAGAACTACTGTAAAATGTTACACTAAAGGTATAAATGATGTCTGAGTCGGTCTAACTTACGGAAAGGGGAGAAAGGATTAGCTCTCCTGTTCTTAAACCTTCCAACAATTCTTTACAAAAGGAAGCTGAATGACTGGCCCACTAGGTAGTGAAGGAAAATTCTCCTAAGGGAAGGGAGCAAGGTGAAGCCCAACAATAGAGGCTCAATTGTTCCCCTGAACCGTATGTTTTGAGAATACCCAGCAACACACTTGCTGCTCCCGTTTCTGCTTTCGGAGCTGAATGCCCTCTTCCTCTCTTCTTCGCCTCATTTCTTCAGGGTTTAGGGCATTGTTCTTATAGCTCTTCATTCGATAATTGTCCTTTCCTGGGCTCGCCATGGTCTCTAGAAGAAGGCAAGATACAAACAAACTGTCAAAGACTCTCCAGAAGATGGCACTTTCTTTTCACCGTGCTTCTGTTCCGTGCTTCTGTTATGTATGCCCTACCTTCTCTCTATACTGAGGGGAAACAGTGCCTCTGGGATGCCCAATAAGCCCAGTAAATACACCTAACATTTTTGTTGTCACTCCATTATCAACACATGTGATGTGGTATGAGTTATTTTATTTTATTTTTAAAATTTATTTATTTATTTGTGTGTGTGTGTGTGTGTGTGTGTGTGTGACCAGCTCAGCCCACCAGGGGGCGGGGCTG